TCTTCGGATCCAATTATTTTTTGTTAAATTAAGTTTGATATACTCATTAATGAAAGCATCTTTGCTAATTCAAATTGTTTATCAAAAAAATGCTAATTGCTTTTTCTTTAAATCTTTTGCACAGAAAAAAAATCTTGATAAAAAATATACTTTTGAATTATGCGTAAATGAAAAATTCTCTTCGTAATAGTCAAAATTGTCTATCGATTAATTAAAAATACATAAGACATTTGGAAGGATTAATATATGATCTTGATTCATAGAACAGTAGAAACTAAGATTAAGACGAATGCAATTACTCAGGAATTATTTTAAATATAATCATTAATATTCATAATACAAAAAGTAAGATTAATCTCATAATCCTTAGAATCAAATGTTTTTAATTCTAATATTATGCATGAAAAATATAATATAAAAATCAGTGGAAAAAAGCTAACAATGTAATCTATGATTTTTATAATCTTCTCAAGACGATCACGCTAGAAATCCGTAATGAGTTATCAAATGCATGACATTTTGGCATTGTTCGTCATGATATGTCATCTTATCTTACAAGCCATATTTTTTGCTAGCAATCTGTCATTGTTCTTCTTACTATTTTCACTGTATTACAGAAAATGGCGATATCATGATACCATTTTGGCCGTTTTATAATATTTATGATACCGTTTTCTCGGACCTATGTTGTGATGTTTTCTAAAACTTCAATGAATTGAAAGTTATCGAAATCCCCTGATATATATTATTTCAATATGATTAGCGAAAGTAACATTCTAAAAATTTGCAAATAACAAGAATATATTTATTCACTGTAAAACTTTTTCATCGAAAATACGGTGTTCAACGACAACTAAACTCTTTACATATGTAATAAACTCTTTCATGTAAACTTCTGATAGTATTGCTAGAAAAGAAGAATGTTTCATAAGATAAAAAGACGACGAAAAAGTTTTGAGTATAATTTTTCTTATTAAGAATTCTCTAAAATAATCTTAAGTGCCTTGATATGATTAATTGGTATTTTTATTGATAAAATATCACAGAAAAAAAATAGTTTCTAATCCTGTTTTATAGCGTTTTTCTTTTCTGTAATTGTCAAAACGCTCTCATGAAAAATAAATTCAGTTTTAAAATTTCATTTGAGTTCTGATATAATTTGCTTTCATGCCTTTCTATCAAGAGCACTTTGGTAAATTAAGAACACATAAATTATTCTGACGACTTTTTCAAAATGAAAAGTTTTGTATATATCATTCATGTCATTCTTTAAAAAAAAAAAGCATTCCAATATGAAAATTTATTAATATTTTAAACATCGTGATATCAAAGTTCTTTCTTTGAGCAAATGAATTCAATTTAATATATTCTTTTGTTTTTTGTTAGTTAATTATAATTGAAAGAAAAATACTTTCATATTATATTCAATAGAATTATTTTATTCAACAAGATTTCATTATTAATGTTTGCAATATATCGAATACAAAGAAAAAGAACTTCCTATAAAAATAGATCTTTGTATTATTTCATAACTTCACATGAAACTAAATAAATATAGAACAATCGAATTTAAGACTATTGTCTAAATATGATGACTGTCAAATATAATTGTATATACTGTTTTTTTGGAACAGATCACATCAGAGAGTGAACAAACAAGTTTGCCAGAAACTAAAGTATAATCCTATGAGATTATGCATTGGGAAAGAAACGAATCCATTACTTGAGAGATAAGGCTCGAAGTACGGTGAATTAGTGATGACTGACAATCTGTAGCGTATAAACATGTTCATATATGAATAAAAAATATTAATATAACGATATGTTATCTTCTTGTCTTTATTTAAAAGATTAGTAGCTAAATGCGTTCATGAGTTTCTTTAATTTATAAATCGATTATAGGAAAAAAAAAGAAGTTTTTCATTGTTTAGTGAGAAAGATTCACTAATCATTTTATCCGTCAAATTACGTTTGAGATAATCCGTCTAGTCTTATTCAATAAAAGGAATTTTTTTGGATATTTTATTTTGTATGATACTTAATGCATGTAGTAAATACGTATATTAACAAGAACTGTGTAGTTCTTGAAATGATGGAATGATTACATACATATTCAACTTTTAACAATAATTCATTTTAATCTTCTTCATCATTCATGGCAAATTCAGACAGATTTAATAAAAGAAAACGATCTTCTTTCTTTCTTTCTTTAATATTAGTTGAATAAATTAATCGAATGTTATAGTTTTAGACTTCAAACTGATAAACAACAATTCTAAACTGAGAATTCTTTTTATGATACTTCTACATTATTTTAAAAAAATTAGTTTTATATAAGAACATGAAGAAACTAACATTTATATTTCAAATTTATTATATAGGTATATAGGAAAATTTATATGTTAACCCTTTACCCCCGGCTGGGTCGTTTTCGACCCATTCGTACGATTTACATAATTTAGTAAAAAAACGTCTGATTGAGAAGATTGTGGAATATTTGTATAGAGAATTGAATGAGCTATAAATGCGTAAAAAAAGAATTTCTCCTCAATCATTCTTTACTCGACTTATTTGAGTCAAAAAATTGTGAATTTTCGAAAATGTGAAAAAGGCCGTTTTCTGAGTTTATTGCTTTTTCTTATTTACGTAGATTGAGTACTCAGACATTCTAATTGTTGATGTGTACTGCTACTACACTAACCTCTTTGAAAGAAAGATCAAATGGATTTGCTAATGATTCGAGAACGCACACCATCCTTCAAGTCAATTTGGGTCATTTTCGACCCATTCGGGTCGAGTGACATAAAATTTTTATTTTTCTGAAATGACTTCCTCTCGTTAATATGATTGGATAATTAGGATATTTTCTTATTAACAACTTTTGTAGAGTTAAAAATAGTCAAATGACGGGAGAATTTGTCTTTTTTTGGATTGAGACATAGATAACGGGTAGACCAGAAGAAATTGCCGGCTTTTGATAGGCCGTTTTCTCAAGTTAGACTGGATGAGAAAGTTTCGTTCTGATGTCAAAAGATAGAGAATTTTGTGTAGATTTTATTGATATGTTCTTTGCGAAATAAATATTTGTCCTTCTCTTGTAGCATTAAAGGTATTCGATACCACAAAAACAGCATTTGCTCAACTGCAAAATGAGACACTTTTAAA